TTACCTAAGATCAGCCAAATCAATCCTGGCAATCAATTTGGTGATAGATGTCACAGACAGATCACCCTAATGAGTGATCTTCTAATGGGCTACTAAGAAGATCTGCTCTTCCCCACTTCAAATTTAGATGTGCTGTGAAAAATAATTGTCCGGATTGAAAAATTACTTGAGTGTAAACTACTTTGTCTTGTACCTTCTGTTCTCACTTCTGCTCTTACTATATTTAAAACATATTCCTCTTAGTTTCCCCAATCCTCCTTCCTTTAGCTTCAGACCCATAGACTCTCCTTCCTCCTGACCCCTTTAGGTTGATCCAACACATGGAGACTTTATGTGTGCATCTTTCTCTATGTTTATTCCTTGCATATCAACCCAGGTTGTTAGTCAGCATCTAGCAACCCAAACAAAAATTCCATCACAGGCAATCACTTACCAGAAAATACGTTTTTTGTTACCTCCTCAAGCATGCCTGCCCATTGAGCCCACCCCTCACCTACCCAGACATCAGTCCCGGATGTTCTATCCAGGTTTCCCTGCCTACTCCTCCCAACTCATCCCAGGCAAGAGTAGTCTTTGTCCTCTGACTGACTATGGAACCAAATTTCTGCAATTCATCTTTAGGTAGCACTTTTATTCTTCCAAAAGTAGTTACTTAGGCTTAATAGATTATTCATGCATACCTATTAGTACTAATAGGTTGAAAACTCCACCAGAGTGACAGTATTTCATATTATTTTTAAGTTCAATTGGTATATTGGTATTTTAATATTTTCGAACAGTAGTGAGTCTCGATAGTCACACTGGCAGTGGCTGCTAACAATCCCTTCTCTTAGTTGTGGTGTTGATAGAGACCTCCAGAAGGCCTGTAGGAAACAGCAAGCCAGGGTCCCCAAGGAAGAAGAAAAGCCAGAAGAGAAACACGGGCAACAAAAAGTGATACTCTGATTCCTAAAGAGATATGGGGATACCTTTACATAAAACTTTTCAAATAAGAAACCTCACAGACTTGTCATTCTTTCAGTCCTCTTGATTTTACTTTTCATTATTGAGATAATGTGTATACATTAACATGTATATGTCTCTATACATATATTACCTGAATCAACTTATGATTGTTCTCTGCTGTGGCCATAATTGCACTGACCTTGGTTTGCCCTTGAGATTTAATGGAGCTTTTATTATCCTCTAGCCATTATTCTGACACCAGAAAGCAGTAGGTTTAACAAACATAATAGAAACAAGAAGTGTTACTGATGATTCCAGTAAAAAAAAAAAAAGATAAATTAAGAATTAGTTTAACAGATGCTCTATAACAGATGAGTGGATCAAGAAAATGTGATAGATGTATACAATGGAATTTTACTTATCTATTAGAACATTACTGTGTCATTTGCAGGGAAATGAATGGACCTGGGGGGAAATTATGTTAAGTGAAGTAAGTCAGACTCAGAGAAAGAAATAGCACGTTTTCTCTCATATGTGGAAGCTAGATCTAAAGTACAAACATGCATGATAATAACATATACAGGGCTGTATGCATGAACACACAAACTGACTAATGGGTGGCATACTTTGGGGAGAAATCCAAAGGGGTAACTTTTCTGAATAAGTAATTAACTGTTTACTCACATAAACAGAAACATAGGAAGCAGAAACATATTTGGGGAGGCAATGAGTGGAGGACCAGAAGTAGAGCGAGAACAGGTGAGCAAACGCAGTCATTATCTTCAATGTACATTACGTAAAGAGTGAACTATGTAACCGTAGAGTAGGGCTAGAAAGGGGAATAATGAGGAAGAACAATGAAAGGGGTAACATTGATCAAGGTACACTATATTATAACCTGACTTATAGAGCTGTAATCTCTTTATACAACCACTTAATAATAAAAATTTAAAAAGAATTACTTTTCACATAGTGAAAATTCATACATCCAGAACCCTATTCTCAAATAAGACCAGCAAGAAAATACTTCTCTACTTCTGAAGTGACAAAATCCTACACACTGAGGTGTTCCCTACTGAAACCATTTTTTCCAGCCAGATGTTAGAGGGGATAGAAGGTTACAGCCAAGCTAGGCTTACTGCTTTTCAAAGGTGGGGTGGGCCTAAGTTGCTCCCAGTAAATGCTGTATTTCTCCTTGGCCTGTTTTCTTGCCTTGCCACAGTAATTAGACAGATGCCTAAAGCGAATTTTGCAGGGAACTAGATGCACATAAGGAACAATGCACGGCTTCATGCCTACACTATAGGATGATTTTGTATTTTAAGACTAATTTTGATTTTTAAGAAATAAATTAGAGGATGAATTTGGGTGTTAAAAACTAAATATTTGTAAACTATTTTCTCTTAATATTTCTGTGTGTCAGACCCCTTACATGTATAGCAGGATCTTCTCCTAATACTACATTTTACCTTTTAAAAAAATTATGCCTAAATATAGTCAGACACATTCAGATTCTGATAAAAGAAAGATACATGACTTACTTATATAAGTTTATTGTAGCATTGCCATTGTTAAAGTCCTTTATTGTGACAGTGGAAAGTGAAGGCCAATTTCGATGCATAAATAGTTTACCTTAATACAAGTTACTTTAAATAAAAAGGCTGGGGAGGGGTTCTCTTGAATTTATTTCTCTAGTTTCTTGGTTGCTTTGCAATATTACCACTGGATTTCCCTTCTCCATCTTGGGTAAATCCTCCAAAACAACAACAAATATCCCAAAAAGTGTCCATACAATTTCCAATGTAATACTTACTGCTAAAGGCATACTACAGAGGATTGAATTTAGGACATTATAATAATTTGTCAAATAGTTTAGTAAGTTTCATTGATTGTATAGTTCTAGTTCGATTATTGTAAGCCAAAATGCAATTGAAATTTCAAGTGAATGCTACTTGTACTGGACTAGTCTACCTTATCTTCACAGAGCTCCCTAACAGTCTTACCTGTGTCTAAAAAAATCATCTTCAAAGTTACTTAATGGGATATGTTAAAAAAAAAAAAAAACTACACCCACCACATGGAGGCTTTGTTCAGTTTGGCAAATAGCATATAATGGCTTCCAGTGACACAGTCAACCTTCGGCCTTCTTTTTATAAACACAAACGACTATTTCATTGGCAACTTCTGCAATCTGTAAAAATGCAACACAGTTCTCAAAATAGCAGATGAAATCATTCAAACGGTACAGTTGAAGGGAGAATCGCCAAGTTGGTGGCATTACTGGGAAATGAAACTTATTCATCCGAAAATAAGAGGTTAGACTCTAACTCCGACAAATCTCAATTCTCCATCAAGTTTGGAAATTTACATTCAAGCGCAGCACCAGAATTACTTCCCTTTCCGGGGACAGCAAAAATTCTAACAGGCTTCTCAGATGAAAGAAAAAAAAATAGTGGGAGAAAAAGCTTGAAGCATTCCACAAATTCAAAGGACACACACCACACACAGTTTCCCTCCGTAGAACTGGCGTTTTAAGGCCAGGAAACAGTTTAACTCGAAGATTCTCAAACTCTGCAGAGACAGCACCCCCAGATTAGTCCTTTGGGATCCCACTTCTTAAAAGTCTATGCCTTTGAGATCTTAGAAAGTGCTAACCTAATGGGACCAGGCGTTTGAAAGCCCAGCATCCCTGCTTGGAAATGGAAATTCTGCTAATGTTGTGTGTGCTGGATGTCCTTTGGAACAAACCCAATGTCCTGTTGGAAGGGGACAAGAGACAGCATTAAGAGGGAAAAGTCTGAAACCCATGGATAAAGTTGCCATTTCAAGTTCCACTGGGAAAGCTGCGGGAGTCTGGTTCTGGGAGCCTGGAAGTCGTCTTCCTTTTTGCCCCAGGCTAGCTTTCCCATCCCGTAGCACCCACAGCTTTCTTGATCTCTCTAGTTGGCAAGAGCTTGGTAGAATCCAGGGCTACCAGCTTGGCAAACCGCAAAGGGGCATCCCGGGCCATGAGCCGGGGTGACCCAGTCTGCGAAAACCTGGGCTACCTGGCGGTACGCGGGGCGGGACCGCATTAGAAGCGGCGGGGCGCGCAGATCCCAAGCTTTTCCTGTTTCTGGCGCGCGCTGTGCAGCTGTCGGGCGCCTCCCGCAGTAGCTTAGTGGCGACGCCAGGCCTTACAGACGATCCTGCAACCTACACAACCCCCAGGCCTCTCTCCCACAGTCTGATTGTCAGTTTCTTTGGTGAGTGCTGACAACAAGGCGGCGGGAGCAGACGAAATGGTCCTGGGTCCCTTCTGTCCCGCCTGCTAGCCACTCGTTTTGAGTCCAAGGAAACCCAGCGAGTAGGGGCTGTGCACGGGGGGGGAGTTAGTCTGCGAGTCCACGCAGGGAGATGGAAATTCTTGGCGCCGCTGGCACCCAGCGAAGTCCGGCCGAGCGCTTTGCCCAGGCTACTTCGGGGGGGGGGGGGGCAACGAGGGGAAGCAGGGTGAGAGCCAATAAAAACGGGCGTTTACAAGGCGGGAGGGCCGGAACAAAGTCCCGACCCTCCAAGTCAAACCTGTTACCTGGCGTCTCAGGGACCCGGGTTGGGGGTGAGTGGGGAGGAGCCTTCGTGGGTGCGTGGCTGTGTGCACAGTTGGTTTGGGGATCTGGGTTTTTCTGCCTCGATTCTCTGAGGTTTAAACTTCCACCGCGGAAATCTGGGGTACGGAAGAGCGAGACCGGAATTGCTGTGATCACAACTGATGCGTGGCCAAAGCGTGAGCATAAAGTGGCTTCTCTGACGCTGGAAATGTTTGGCCCCGGGGAATGCACAGCCGCGCCCTCCCGTGGCGCACGGGGGTCGAAGAAGAAGAGGAGGGGAGATCTGCAAGGTGTGGGCGCAAGTTGACAGAGTCCGAGGGAAAGTAGTGAGTTGGCCTAAGCCTTGATTCCGGAGGGCTGCTGGGGTGCAGACAGAAAGGGGGACCTCCCCCCACCCCTTGATCCTGTTGGCCCCTCCTCGCCTGCTCCACTTCCTCCTCCCCCACCACCAAGGTGCTGAAATCATCACCGGCGGCAGAACTTGCACTTGATGATCTTCTTAAAGGCATTTTGGAAGTCCTTGTTGAAGTAGGCGTAAATGATGGGGTTGAGCAGAGAGTTGGCATAGCCCAGCCAGTTGATGATGGCGCCCAACAGCTCGGGCATGTGGCAGCTGTTCTCACAGAAGGGCAGGACCAGGGCCACGATGAAAAAGGGCAGCCAGCAGAGGATGAAGGTGCCCATGATGATGCCCAGCGTCTTCACCGTCTTCCTCTCGCGGGCCAAGGCCATCTTGCGCTTTGCCTCGGCGTTCCGCTCGTTTTTCCTCTCGAAGGCGGCGAGGGCCCCGGGGGCGGCAGCCGCCTCCCTGGGCAGCGGCAGGTGCTCTTTGGAGCTGCCCACTCGGTGCACCTCGATCTCCTCCACAGCGGCGCCAGCGTCGCCCGGCCTCACGGCGCCGTTGGCGCAAGGAGCCCCCGGCGCCTGGGGCTCCACGCCCGGCCTCCAGTCTCGGCTACCTGGCTGTCCGTTCACGCTCTTCTTGTGTGGCAGGGCGGGCGACGTCCCAAGACGAGGCTCGGCTCTCTTCTTCTCCACCTTCTTGACCGTCTTGCGGATGCGAAAGCGCGCCGCTCTGAAGATGCGCCCGTAGAGCACCAGCATGAGCAGCAGCGGGATGTAGAAAGCGCCGAAAGTCGAGTAGATCGTGTAGCCGTGGTCCTTGCTGATGGTGCACGCGTCGGGGTCCGAGCGGTCTTCCGGGGTGCGCCAGCCCAGCATGGGCGGGATGGAGATGAGGAAGCCAATGAGCCAAGTGAGCGAGATGAGCGCGGCGGCGCGCCGCGGCGTCCTCTTGTTCACGTAGTCGATGGGGTCAGTGATCGCCCAGTACCTGTCGAGCGCAATGGCGCACAGGTGCAGAATGGACGAAGTGCAGCACAGCACATCCAGGGCGATAAACAGGTCGCAGGTGACTTGGCCCAGCGTCCACTTGTTGAGCACCTGGTACAGAGCGGCCATGGGCAGCACCAGCACTGACACCATGAGGTCGGTGACCGCCAACGAGCCGATGAGATAGTTGGCCACATTCTGGAGGGAACGCTCTAGGGCGATGGCAGCCACCACGCACGCATTGCCCAGGACCGCGCAGAAAATGAGCGTGCCCAGCAGCAGCGAGGTGATCACTTGGTAGCCGAAGGTCACGTCGGAGATGCCAGTAGCGTTGCCGCCTGTCCCGAAGGGCACCTGGGACGACGTGGTATTGTTGCCCTGACCGAGGCTGAGCACATCCATGCCTGCCTGCGCTCCCGCCGGGGGAGGGGGAGGGGGGACAGCGCCGCAGAGTCTCTCCCTCGCCCCTCCCGCCCCCCGGGGTCTTCCTCCTTGGGTCGGGAATTTCAGGGGGAGGGGAGGCTGGGACTCAGGCAGGAAGTTCTTACTGCTTTGGCGAAGGCATCTGGCACGAGTAGCTTCTTAGGACCCGAGCTCCCTTGGCTCCCGAAGTCCAGGGCGCTCAGAGGCTCCGGCTAGAAAACTGGAGGTAGCTTGAGATCCGCTCCCAAATCTCTGGGTGGCAAAGTGGAGGCTGTGATGTCTGCCTCTCGCTGTCCATTTTACTTTGCCGCTGCCCAACTAAGATGCCAGAGCCAGAGTCTCCCTCACTAAAACAAAAAACAAAAACAAACCAACAAAACCCACTCTCCAATCCCCCGAAGTGTCTGGACTAGAGAAAGCCCATCCTCCACGCTCCTTCTGTGGCCTCTTCTTACTGCCCTCCCTACCTCCCTACCTCTCCTTTACTCTCCCTCCTGTTTTTCTCTTCAGATCTCCCTCCCTGCTTCATGCCACTAGCCGTCCCTTTCAGTAGCCTTCTTCTTGCTCAGCACCCTTTCTGCATTTCTCTAAGTGTTGCTCCAACAGCCACTCTCCCTTCCTCCCACGCTAACCTTCCTCTCCCAGCACTTCCCCAACCCCGAGTGTCTCCTTCCTCTAGGTCCCCGCCCTCCTCTCCTTCAAGCCCAGCTTCTTTACATTCCAGTCCCTTTTTGTTGACAGACTCAGCACACACACACACACACACACACACACACACACACACACGCACACAATCTGCAGGTCTGACCAATGTTGTTACAAATAAAAGCCTCCTCCCACCCAGCCCAACTCGTGGGAGATTATTTAAAAAACAACAACAACAACTCTCCTAACTTCCCATGGTTTTGTATTTCTGTCAAATTCTTAGTCAGCATCCCAGAGTGGCAATAGGAAATGAAAAAAGGAGACACATGGAGCCCAACTGGAAAACTGGACAGCTTTAGGTCAGTCTGTACATTACTGTTAATTGGTGGCAAGAGACGGATTTTGTGTGCTTCAGTTCTATGTGTGTTTCCTCATTGAACAGTCAGCCCATCTTCATGCTCTGGGACGAGAGAGGGTGGAAGGGTGTTGCCGATGATTGTTTTATTTATTTTTTGTTTTGTTTTAGGTTGTTGTTGTTGCTGCTGCTGCTGTCTTGGGGAATTGGGAGAGAAATGAATTATAAAGGGCAAGCTCAGTTAAGCATCTGAATGCCAGAATAAGAAAAAATTCAAGTTGTTGCATGCTTCACACACACACACTCACACAAATATAACACACATGCTCTCACACTTTTCAGCACGTACATTTTTCAGACATCAAAACCATTTTAATTATAGCGAATACTGGTCCCCTTAAAGCTTTGTGAATACATTCGGGGAAAGAAATATTGTGCCACTGCATTACAAGTGAAGCCCTTCCTTCATTTTAGACAGACGTTGGCATCTTTTACTGGAACCTACCAACCTCAGGGCACTCGGTGGAGTCCCTGGACTCAGCCCCTACACGTCTCTCTAAACTTGCTTCAGCACCGAGGACAGCTCTCACCAGCACGGGCCTATGGCGCCACCTTCTGGCAAATGCTTTAGAGCGTCACTTAGAAATCCTTGTCTTAGAAAAATCAAGTGTTCAGCGAGAAATCTGTCTTCAAGGGGGGATAAAAAGGAAGAATATTATACAAGGAAAAGGTTTGAATGTTGTCTTTTAAATTTTTTCTTCAAAAATTTCTTTTAAAAATTTCGTTTAGTCAAACGAGGAGGCACCAATGCTTGATAAGAAATGTACTCATTATCTTACCCATGTAATTGTAACCCCTCTCTATGGTATTTTCACACACACACACACACAAAAAAATTCGTTTAGTGGCCTATTTTTCTCTTAACCTGTGTACTAAGCCTATATGTTTTCAGGTGTCTTCTGAAAGCCTGCCCACCTGTCATGCAAGGGTTCTATATTAAAACGCGTTATTAATAAAACTATGCAACACCTTCACCTGTGTTAGTTTTGTGTTTCCTTAGCGTATACTTTGGAACTCACGTTTATCGAGGGGTGGGAAACATTATTACATCTTCCAAATGGAATTTTTCAACATTGAAAGTTTTTTTTAAAGAAGTTTCCATGGACTTGTTTTAAATCATTTTTATTTTTACCAAGAAAACCACATTAAATTCCATTTGGACACAGGTAAAGAATAAAACTAATGTGTAGAATAAACACGAGTGGTCCACTTATAAGTTTTGACTACATACAGGAAGTGAAGGAAAAAACAAAATCCTTTAGGAAAAGGACAAAATTCTTTTGCAATTCCCAAAGCAGTTGACTTTAGATAACATAATACGCTCATCTCACATTGCAATTTTGTCTGTTGTGTTCAAATACAAGTTTTGGGCATCATAGATTTTTTTAATATTCTAAGACTGAACAAAAGAGGAATCACCAACACATCAAAGCAAACCTAATTGGGGCAGTATACACTACAGGGCAACATATTTGGAGAGGACTTGAGCTGGGCACAGTTCCCACTGAATAATTTCACATCCCATCATAATGAAGCTTCTGTTCACAACAACTTATAGCATGGAAAAGAAAGAGGTAGGCATGTATAGCAATGATGTCCACAGACACTGACAAAGTCATTTTAAGGTTTGTGAAGCTATCAATTTCCCCTTTTTAAATCCCACCCAAATGTAGAACTAAATAATTTGTTTAAAAAGAATGATAAGTCCAAAGACCAAAATGTGAAAATACTTAAAATCTGAGCTTTGTAAAAAGGAAACTTTGAAAATGCAATCCCGAGTATAAGCAGTAGGAGAAGATAAACTAAAAATCTTAAAAAACAAATCTAACTTCTTTGAATAAGAATTGTGTCAATAAAGGTAAATATGTAAATCACAAATCAGTAAATAGATCAGATAGCAAATGTACAATCATCCTATGGAATTCCAAATGTTGTAAAATAACTGAAAATTTTATTTTTCCTTTAAATCTAGAGTTAATGTTGATGAGGTTTAACGTTTGATATTTTATTGAATATGCAGCATTTTTATCCAAACTTAAGAAAATCTCAAATAGTTGACATTTTTCTTCAGAAATAATGTTAGTAAAGTTATGCTTTAAAGATTTTGATTTTTAAGTAGTTGAAACTAGGATAGACATTTGAAACAAAAAATATTATGCTAAATTTAATTCTCCCTTATCCTTAAAGACCAAAGCAGGAGGATGATTATCGTTCTTCCAGAACTGAGAATGTTGATTGGAAGTCACTAACAAAGCAGTCGGATGTGGGGAGGCCTTAGATCCGTTGTGAAATATGGCCTTCTAGTTATTAGTGGAAGTTTACAAAAAATTGATCAAATTAAAGAAATTTCAATCAAATTCTTTAAAACCAAGCAGGTTTCTGTGTGTGTCCAATCTTCACCATCCACTTCCTCCAGTGGTAACACTCTTTCATTGTTCTTTCTCCCTGTAAGGTATTCTGGCATTTCAACAATGAAACAGAAAACAATGAATACCTCAGACTCTGCTCCTGAGATCTGTAAAACAAGCTTGGTTCATTTGGCACACATGCTGCAAACACAGCATATTATGATTGAAAATCAGAAGTAACCATGTATTCACTGTGTGTAAAAGACTTTGGACAAATTCATTAACTCTTGTTCCTTAAAACTTAAATGGATATGATTATTGACTTGTTATTACATGATATAATATGCATTGGCCTATAATGACTTTCTATGAAGGTTAAACAATAACAGTAATTGTGATGCAAAGTAATAATATTATCTCTCTACTGATATTATCCCCTAACTGGAGAAAAAATGGGGTGGATAAAAAAGAGCAGAAGGCTGGACTAAACCAAATAAGGCTGTATAGGAGACTCTAATTTGAAAGTGGTTTTCATAAGAATCTTACATGCCTCCCATTCCTTAAAGCATTTATTGAGTCTCTAGGATATTCCAAGTAAAACACAAATGGGAAGAAAAAGTGAACTCTGCATTCTGGAACTTCTTGACTTAAATCAGAAGTTACTGAAGAGAAGAGGGAACATGCGAACAAAAGTTCAGTAACTTCTATCAGATAGGGGTCTGCTCTTTCTCTGAGAGTTCAACCATTTGTTGAAAAACATGAAATAAATAATGGAAATATATAGCTTCCAATAACGAGTGCAAAAGTATGGTAAAAATAAAAATACACTATTTTCACTATGAGAAATAACTTTATCAAATTTATAGTGATAGGTGTTAATAATACTTTACAGAGTTCAATTCTCCTATAATGCTGTCTTTCTCTACATATTTTTCTTCTTCTTCAAAATTAGAAAGAAGACATTTGAGGTGAGATAATACTATTTATCAAAAATTAAATTCAGGGGCTGGGAAGGTGGTAGAGCGCTTGCCTGGCATGCATGAGACCCTGGGTTCGATTCCTCAGCACCACATAAGCAGAAAAAAAAAGCTGGAAGTGGTGCTGTGGCTCAAGTGGTAGAGTGCTAGCCTTGAGCTGAAGAGCTGAAGGACAGTGCCCAGGCCCAGAGTTCAGGCCCCACGACCAGACCCCCCAAAAAAATTTAAATTCAGTCAAATAATTACTTGAAATAAAATTCAGTTGTTGCACTAATACAACATTCATCTGTATTGATACATGCTTATATAGCTAATTTATTTTCACTGTTGTGAAGCTTACAATTGTCCTGGGACTGGTGCTACAAATTATGTATTGATTCTCTGGTTTATGGATATTTAAAGCACTACAAAATTTTGCTCTTATAAACAGTACTTCTATGGGAATTTTATGTCTATAGTTTTGCAATCATGTAACTTAGAGCAAAGGAGATCAGGGCTCCCCAAACAAATCACATAGGGTCCTTATTTAAATGAAAGTCTTCACACAATGAGTCTGGAGTTGGGTCCAGGACACTTTATTTCTACAAAGATTATAAATGATTAGACTGAAAAGAGTAAGGGACTGCAAATCCACAAATGAATTTGTTGGGC